TTCACATTCAGTGAGTGGAGACTACTGGTAGAAGTTGAAGCGATCACGCAATCGTTGGCTGACCTTGCGCGCATTGACGTACAGCGCAGCAACCAAGTCTCATCAGACCTTATCGTTTTGATGAAGTTTGCACTTGACCGGCTCGCCACAGACACATTCCACATCTACGATCTCGATGCTGCGAGACCACCAAAGACACACGAGAAGTCACTTCCCCGTAACGATATTCAGATTGGCGCACTCTCAGAGAAGGCCATGATTTGTGTGAACCGGATCAAGGGGCAAGTTTTGAAGAGGCTGCCCACGCTTACGGATGAGTCGGTGGTTATCTTGTTGCTCGACCCCCGAACGAAGTTCACGGTCGACAGTCTCATTCAACCTCCAAAGCTACGTCAAGAAGCCGTCGTTGGTGGGGTTGTCTCTGATGAAGGCTCCAATGTCACCGCTGGGCTCACAGAAGATGAAGGTGATGTGGATGCCGTTATAAGCAAGGGCAAGAAGTGCTTCGCAATGCACACCGAGAAGTTTTTCGGGCAATCCACGCTTCCAACCCGAACAACAGCCTGCACACGGACGTGGATACCCCAACAAACCTGGACTTGGTGCCGTCTGTTGACGCCAAGTTGGTGATGTGTGGCGCGCCATTGGTTGCTTCGTCTTCAAGCAGCACGCCTGTGGCCAGCCTTCACGACCAAGCCGATGAAGTCCTCGCGAAGTGGTACCAGCACAGTGTGAACTGGGTACCCGCTGCGCTCCAACAAGCATCGGACGACCAGTTGACGGAAGCAGATTTCACCAAGTCCCTCCTAGTCCGACGCAGAAACGACGTTTGCTGGAATCTGCAAGCTCTATGCGAGCACATTGACATTTGCCATTGGTACCGTGAGACTGGGGCTGCAACGTTCCCAACAATTGCTGCTCTTGCCCGTGTATGGCTAGGCCGGAGCCCTTCGAACGCCTTCCAAGAGCATGTCTTCTCAACGGGAGCCTTTGTCATGGGACCTCCTCGTACAAGCACAGACAACCGTCGAGCTGAGACCCAGGTACTGATGATGCACAACCGTGCGGAGATT